AAATGAGGAAGAAAAAAAAAATGACATTATCCATGAATTAAATATGGAACTTTATAATGCTGTTCCAATCGAAATATGGGTCATTTTCAATATCTTAATTTGGGTCTATATAATGCACGGCTGCATTTCTTAACACTATTGGTGCATTTTTGCATATCTAAGGGTGCATACAGTGCAACTGCACGTTAAAACGTACCATTAAGTACGCATCACTACAAAACACAATATTACTATGTATAAACGCACCACACAGTATTCGGAAATGCACAATTAGATGTGGGAGATATGGTGTATTTATTGGGGATGTGTGGTGCGTTTTGTGGTGCACTTTATTATAGTGCATTTTTTAACACTATTAATGCGTTTGCATATTAAGGTCTTGTTGCATTTGAGCTCACATATATATATATATACATATACTAATTCTTGACATATACACACAGTAGGAGATTATGCGTAATAATAACAAATCATTTTCATATCACATTTTTATAAATCAAAGATATGAGAGTTTCCTCCTGCACGTTTTATAACTATCTTCCAAATCAATGAAATTCATCCAATATATGGAATTTAATGCTATCCCCTCTATTTATTGAGAGACAATCCCGACATAAGTATGACAAAAATGATTAACCAGAATAACTCCGTCTTCTTCTTCTTCAATTTGTGCCTAGTTTTTGCACTGCACAATGCCTCAAGCCACAATGAGAGAAAGGTATTACATATATATATTCTTTTTTTTAATCCCACTTAATCAATATCATTCTTTCACTATATACATTTATACAGAATTGGTTAATTAACCATTTAGTTTTGATTTTTGACCGTCTGTGTTAGCCATACGTTGTGTATATGGGAGCATTGCCGGCGGGAGGATCCAAGGTTTCTTTGTCGGCTGTGCATGACAACATTCTGTTCCAGGCAATTGGAGAGTAATATTATATTCCGAATCTACAACATAATAATTATCCATTTCCATTATATAAAATAAAGAAGTTAAAAATATAATTTTATTAATTCTTCTTTGGTTTTGAATTGTATTCCAGTGAGAGAATAGCAGCGCAGTCCAAGATTCATAGCTATGGAAGAAGCTTTAATGCTTTGGCAGCATGGCTGCTGCCCCATGAAGCCAAAACATTATCCGGTACGAGGATATATATGTCCTCAAAAGCAAACATTTTTATGATATTACAACAATTTTTTGTTTCATTTTGGTTGATCTGATCATATTAATCATTACCTCTCACTAAATATTGCAGAAAGAAGAGGAGTTGTGTCGGTGTTTCAGAGCATTAAACGAAAGCTTCATACCACGCATTCATGGGATTTCTTAGGAATGCCAACAACTGTAAAGAGAAACCTCCAAGTAGAAAGTGATATTATTGTAGGCCTCATCGATTCTGGTAAGAAACAAATTAAAATTGAATAATATAAGCTCGATTGGAAATTAAAACTCATGATTTTTTACCATCAAATAATGGTCAAAAATTACGTTTGTGGTTAGAAATGAACTTTTTTGATCAACTTTCTGACCATTTGATGTTGAATTCCTTTGCTTTTTTATTTTATGTTGGTAGGAATATATGTTGACTTACCAAGCTTCAATGATAAGGGAATTGGTCGTCCTCCTGCAAAATGGAAGGGTAGATGTCAAACCGGGTTAAATTTTACACGGTGCAATAAGTATGTGTTTTGTTTTAACTAAAAATTTAAATTAACATAAAATTACACATTTAATTTAGGACATGAATTTCTATGTGGTTGCAGTAAAGTTATTGGTGCCCAAGCCTTCAACCTACTTGACAACGATAACCAGTCGAGTTCTCCGGCGGACTTCGAAGGCCACGGCACGCACACCGCTTCCACCGTCGCCGGCTCACTGCACAGAGGCGCAAGCCTTTACGGGCTGCTCAATGGTACAGCCCGCGGCGGAGTGCCGGCGGCGCGGATAGCTATGTACAAGGCATGCAACGAGGTCGGGTGTGCGGACGTGGACATCCTCGCGGCGTTTGACGCCGCCATTGCCGACGGCGTGGACATATTGTCGGTCTCCCTAGGCGGCTACCCGGCGTCCTACAACGAGGATCCGGTCGCAATCGGCTCCTTCCATGCCATGCAGAAGGGCATATTGACTTCTTGCTCGGCCGGAAACGAGGGAGATCGAGGGGTTGGAGGGACGGTAACAAATGTCGCGCCGTGGATCTTCACGGTGGCTGCCGCTTCCACTGATCGACACTTGGTGACTGAAGTTGAATTGGGTGATGGACGAAAATTCCCTGTAAGTCCCTCAATACATAAACTAGCGATTTAGTCGGTGCCTAGGCGGCCTAATCGGTGCCAAGGAGGCCTAGTCAGCGCCTAAGAAGTCTAGACTGTCATCGCCTAGGCGGCCTACACCACCAATTATTCTTCCAAAGGCTAAACCCCAACTCTAAGGGCCCCCCACACCCCGGCCTGACAGAGCATTTGGGTACACCACCAATTATGGTGATACGCTAAGCGGCCGACTAGTGTCTAAATTGGATTTTTGCAACACTCTCTATTGTGGATAAAAATGAAATCAGGAAAGTGTGATCAAGTGAGTGAAGCATAATTTTAGTATTAACAATTTTTTTTATCCATTTTTAATTTTTTAAGGGAATTTCTCTCAGCTTATTTAAAAGCAGTTCATTTCCACTCACAAGTGGAACACTAGCAAGCTTATTACATGACGGTTCAGGCAGGTATGAAATTCTAAATCTCAATTTATTTCATACACGATAATATTTTGTTAATATTATACTCCGTAAATGTTTTATTCTTTTTGACCAAATTAATGCATGGGGAAACATTATGTTACAGAAATTGTGACGAGGGTACACTTGAAGAGAGTAAGGTGAAAGCAAAAGTTTTGTATTGCGTAACTCAAAACCGACAAGATGATATTATAGAGGACATGGGTGCAAAAGGAATTATCATGTCTGATGAAGGTCCTGTGCAAAACGCATTTCCCTTTAGAATACCAGCTAGTGTTGTCAAATTCCCAGAAATTGGTGATAAAATTGAAGCATATATCAACTCTACTAGGTAAGTTTCATGAGATTTTTTTACTGCTTGAAATTCTACTCAGAAATGATATATCAAATTATAAATTACAGACAACCAACGGCAGTGATTCACCGAACAAAAATTGTCAAGGTCAATGGGTCATTCATGGCTTCTTTTTCATCAAGAGGACCCCAGTATATAGCCCCCAATCTCCTAAAGGTCAGAACTTTGACATAAGCAAAATAGCTTCGTTTTGAGTTCAAAATTTCTTATTTTATTTTGATCTTTTATGTCATGTACGTGTGTGTATGTATAGCCTGATATCTCAGCTCCGGGGTTGAACATATTGGCTGGATTTTCACCATTGACTTCTATAAGTGGCGACATAGATGATACAAGAACCTCCGTCTACAACGTTTTTCCGGGAACATCTATGTCTTGTCCGCATGTTTCAGCTGCAGCTGCCTATGTTAAGTCTTTCCATTCTGATTGGTCACCTGCTGCAATCAAGTCAGCCTTGATGACTACAGGTAAGAGTGTCAAAGTAGGTCAAAACTTACAAGAACAGTACTAAACTGCCTTGTTGTAATGTGAGTTAGGGCCTACAATTTTTTACCCGCACGAGTTGACGGGTTATACGAATTAATTTTGATATCATCTTGAAAGGTCTAGCTAGCTATCATTAACTATTCCCTATTTTTTAAGAATAACATTTTCAGGTTGACGTTATAACAACATTTTACATTGTATCGATTTCAGCAAAACCGCTAGGGGTAAAGGACGTAGATGTGGAGCTAGCATATGGAGCGGGAATGATTAACCCGACAACAGCCACAAATCCCGGCCTGGTTTTCGACATTGATGAAGCTGCCTACATAAACTTCCTCTGCAAAATTGGATACAATAGTTCCAACTTACGACAAATCACTGGTAACGCAACCAAAGACTGCTCGAGAATTCTAGACACAAATGGAGAAGACGGACTAAACTATCCCACTATCAATTTGAACTTGAATACCGTTTCTAACAATCCCAAGATTGATGGAGTGTTTCATCGTACTGTCACCAACGTTGGGAAAGCGTCGGCAGTTTACAAGGCGACAGTCAAAGCACTAAAGGGTCTCTCCATTGAGGTTTCTCCCAATGTCTTGTCATTCGATAGCAAGAAGGAGAAGAAATCTTTTCAAGTTTCTTTGAAAGGAAACTACCCAGATAAAGAGACAATGTATTTGTCTGGGTCTATAATTTGGAGCGATTCTATACACAACGTGAGAATCCCCGTACTTGTATCAAGGCCTGCGGGGAGTACGGGACAATGACTCTTAGTTTCATTAATTTTATATAGTAATGTTGGATTCTTAATGTAATCAATAAAAAAGTTTATTATACAATTCTTAATATAGATGCTTTGTAAATGAGATAATTGACAAATTATGCCGTGCAACCGTGTGCACCATGTATAGTGTATATGGTTGCACAGCATAACGATTGAAGATAATTAAAGTGGGTTTCTTTCGGTCTAGTTAGAGGTTTTAATTTGCCCTATACAGACTTGTTCACTGGTGTAGTAAACAGTATTTGAGAGAAGAGATTAAGGCACATATAAAAATTGTGAAACCAATTAAGAGTGAAGGTCCAAATAAGCATTTCTTGATCGCCGCCTCTCACCATAAATATAATTAGACTATGATACCTAATTGCAATATAATATATGTTGATAACATATGCGCTAATTAGGTGACAACAAGGTTCAATCAAGTAACTCTCGGGGACCCCCGCCCCATTGCCATTTCTATTGGAGAGAGATTTGTGTATTTATTTTGTCATGCCCTTAACACATTTTTCAGTGTGAATGGAAAGAGATTTGTGTATTTATTTTGTCATGCCCTTAACACATTTTTCAGTGTGAATGGAATGGGCCACTGATAGTTGATAGTTGATACCCATATATATCAAACTTAAGGCCCGACCCTATACTGCGATTCCTAGTTCCTACTGCTTCTTCATCCCCAGTTCCCCAGGCCACCTTCAAAGCTCTCCGGCCAGTCACCATCCCTCACATGAAGCTCTCTAAACCTCCCTTCTTCTCCTTCATCTTTCTCCTCACTATCGGTGCGTATTTCTCCATGGTTCTTTTCTTTCCTTCTTCCAATTCATCCCAGAATATATAAAGATTCATCTGTTTTTGTTTCTGTTTGTGGTTTCAGGCAATCCCGCCGGTGTTCATGCTTCTGATGCAGGCTATAATGACAGCAAGAAGAACGGAATAAATGGGTTCCGACCGACCAAGCTGTTTGTGTTCGGAGATTCGTATTCTGACACCGGGAACTACCGGAAATTGGAGGCATTTTCTTGGAAGCAGCCTTATGGCATCACTTTCCCCGGAAAGCCTTTCGGCCGCTTCTCCGACGGCCGTGTCCTCCCTGATTATATTGGTATGTATTATTAATTTATGCTCTCTCCTGTTATGGCATCCACTGCAGTGATGATTGATTGTCAAAACTTGAAAATCATTAAAAAGATTTGATTTTTATATGATAATTACGAAATTATGATATTTTAATGTCTAATGTGAAATGATTTGGTATTATATTAGATTATGTGTAATTTATTATACAATTTTTTTTTAGCAGTCGAGGCTGAATCTGATGACCTTTCATATAGGAGAGTCCCTATATGCATAAAGTGCTTGGGAGACAAATAATGTATTTTTAATATATTTAAAAAAAATTATTTTTAGTTCACACAAATGTGGACCATGTCTATGGAATAATGATTGATGTCTTGTCATATTTCATGCTTTTATTGATAGAATATATTATTCGTTAATTTTTTTTTATCAATCAGAATATGTAACTTAAACAAAAAAATGAAAAATAGAGTAGAAATTGAGATATGTGCAGTATTTTAAAATGCCGTGACAAGTTTGTTTTCTTTAATATGTGGCTGTAAAACTTGCATTATTTAGTTATGAAAAATATTATGTATATTCTTATTTTTTATTTTTATTTTTATTAATATAAATATTTATATTGGAATTCATATAAAAAAAGTAGTTTATCAAAGTACTTTACATTAAGGAATAAAATTTAGAGTAGTTTATCAAAGTACTTTACATTAAGGAATAAAATTTAGAGACTAAAATTTGAGAATAAATATCGGTCAGCACTTATCTTTTATGGTCAAACAAACACTATTACATAAGTTGTCTGTCGGTTGGTCTGTGTCATTTTGTAAGTGGAACTAAAAGATGAATATTTTTTTTTTTTGGTAGGGACTAAAAGATGAATATATGATAAAGATATTGATAGGATAATATATGATAAAGATATCAAATTCGTGACATGACGAGTGTTGACCCACTTTCTTTAGCATGAAAATCTTTTTTTTTTTTTTTCTTTCCGATATTCCAATTATTGATATTTGATTTGATAATCATAAAATTTTAGAGTGAGTCTTGTGTGAGATCACCTCACGAATTTTTATCAATAAGATAAATTAGTTTAGTTCGCATATAGTTTTTTTTTTTTTTTTTTTTTTTTTTTTTTTTTTTAAAGTAAGGGAATAGGTTTTCTAATTAAGGGATAATCAATCTTATAGTAATGTTCTATACTCCTGTCAATCAAACAACAACAATGATTTTGATTTTCATTCCTAATAGCTAAACCTATGAACCAAACAGAACTTAAGTGATTGTGGGCATAACACACATTTTCTTTGTATTTACATTTTAGATGTGATTTGTTGCATGTGTGAACACAGCTAGATTCTTGGGAGTGGAGTCTCCGGCACCGTTCAGATGGATGAAGTATGCTCAGCGTCGTCGGCTGCAATATGGTATGAACTTTGCATTTGGCGGCACCGGCGTGTTTGATACACTCATTCCGGGACTGAACATGACAACACAGATTGGGTTTTTACAGAAACTGATTGATGATTCTGTATATACAAACACCGACCTGCACTCTTCCATGGCCTTTTTTACCGTTTGTGGCAATGACTATACGGCCTATCGATTCATGGGTGGCACTAAAGAGGTATGCTAACTAAAACCATCCTTTTAATTCATCTCATGATAAAACTCATGAGTTCAAACCCCTTCTCGTATGAAAAAATCAATCTGACTAGCACTTTGCCCAGCAATCAATGAGTAGTCTGAGTATGATACGAACTTAAAGGTGCCTCATAGTCCATCTTGCATTATGTACCAAAGAAACTAGACTGCATCCCATTGTAACCAGCCATCCACACATGGTTGTTATCTCTTGGGCCCGCATGGGTAGCTCAACTGGTCATAGAGGTGAAACTTTGGAAGAATGACCAGGGATCGAGTCTCGCCAGCGACAGTATGGGAGCAACCTCTCAAAGTGAGGGGGTTCCTTGTGCGCAGTGAGCACCCGTCTAGCCTCTGTGGTTCATGTTCAGTTGAGTCACTATGATTTACATCCTCCCAGGGTTGGGGTTCAGCCTTTATTGCTTGGTGATCCTTTGTCGACTAAACTAATTAAGATCACCAGGCGGAATTATCCGTGCATACTCTTAAGTAGTGCTTACGAGTTTCTTGGTCACGTATTTCTTTTGAAGTTAATTTGTATATAAAACTTATATATTGAATTGTGAATAGGGTCTACCGGCATACACCAAAAGAGTGGTAAACCAAATAGCTACAAACATGAAGCGCCTCCACAACATGGGAGTCAAGAAAGTGAGTGTCTCGTCTATGCAACCCTTTGGTTGTCTTCCCACTATCACTGCCCATTCATCTTTCCAACAGTGCAACGACAGCCTGAACGAGGGTGCCATGCTGCACAACTCGATGTTGCAGAAAATGGTGGCGCGGCTGAACAGCCAGACCCCCGGCTCCCCATACTTCATCCTCGACCTCTATAGTCCCTTCATCACCATCATCAAGCAAAAGAAACTCCGGCAAGGTAATTCAATTCATTACATTGCATATATGCTTCTTCCTAACCTTAATATATAGCTCTAGTAATTGTTAGAATGTTAGCAAACTTCTTTCCTAATTAACCTTAATATTTCCGAATGGTGTGAGAATATGCAGAAGGTAGTAGGAGATTCGAGACGCCAATGAAGCCATGCTGCGTGGGAGTAAGCAAGGGATACGAATGCTCCAGTGTGGACAAGAATGGGGTGAAGATGTACACGATGTGCAGTGATCCAAACGCGGCCTTCTTTTGGGACGGCAGTCACCCGACCCAGGCAGGGTGGTCAGCTGTTTATGATTATTTGAAGCCTACTCTCCATGAACACTTGTTCTAGCTTTCTGTATGGTTTTCATGAACTCCTCGTATTTTCACTTGAACCCCTAGACGGCTAGACTTCCGTTTAGTCTATATTGGACCCTTATGTTGTATGAATTCAACTTGTGTTTAATTGAGACTTTTGTATCCTACAATGAGATTTGATACTCATTATCATGTTTATTTGTCAACTTTTATTATTTTTTGTACCATTGAATTCAAATACTTAAGTAATTATAAAACAGAATTGCACTCTGGTGCGAATGGAGCGCGCGCCCAGGTGCGAATATGTGAATGTCTGATATTCGTCCACGTATCCAGATCTAATGGATGAGAAACACTGATTTAAAAAAAAATGGTAACATTTTTGTAAATAATTGAACATCGAAGTACAAGTAAAATGTATTACACGTGCATGTAAAATGTATTATAGGTGCAAGTAAAATTTGCATTGCGCATCAATACTAAGTGACCTATAGTTATAAGTAGTTGCACCTAGGTGCATGAATGTTTGTGGGTGGTTTTCACGGGTACTACTACCCGCTGAACTCGAACTTAGATAAATAAATGTTAACAAGGCAAAATTACATGCACTTGCGGGCGAAAGTAGGTGCACCTGATCAATAAATGCAAGTAAAAACTACATGCACTTGCAGGCGAAAGTAAGTGCACTTGTAGGTGAAAGTAGGTGCACCCTATCAATGAATGCTGACATATGGCGTGCACTGATTGGTTCACATTTTTCTCCTGGACACCGATTTGCACCTGAATGCGACCCTTATAGAACATATTATCATTTTCATTCCTTACTTTTAAATAATGGAATAAAAAATGAGGAAGAAAAAAAAATGTCATTATCCATGAATTAAATATGGAACTTGCAGTTCCATTCAAAATAGGCATCCTTTCAATATCTTAATTTGGCTCATATTCTTAAGTAATCCCAATATATATATATAAGAGATCGCATGTGGATACTGTGCTCAGGTGAAAGATGGAGTTGAATGATAGTCGTTAATCTAGCTAAAAAGGACCGTCCAGATTGAACACAGATGTAAAAAAAAATTATAGTGGCAATTTGGTCTTTTTGCATTTAGTTCGATCAAACTTAAAGTGTGTGGTTGGGCTTCTTAAGGTGCATGGTTTTCCTTCTTAAGGTGCATGATTTATGTATTTAAGATGCATCAGTTCTTCAGTTGAGAACTTAAGGTGCGTTTTTGTTAAAACTTAAGGTGCATCGGTCTAAAGTTTTAGGTGCGTGGCTTTACTTCGATCTTAAGGTGCGTGGTTTGTGTGTTTAAGGTGTGTCAGTGGTTGAAACTTAAGGTGCATGGTTTATATACTTAAAAGTGCGTCATTTTAATTTTTAAGGTTAAGGTGCATGGTTTCCTTTCATATAATGTCTTCTTTTTTTTTAAAAATTTTTTTTTTATTGATTTGAGCGTTTGAACTAGATTTGATCAACGACTCAGATTAAATCGTATGTTCGCACTTTGAACAAATTTCCACACAGATCTCATCCATGTGTATTTGTTATTATTACGCATTATGTATGACTATGTGTATATGTCAAGAATTAGTTTGTGTGTGTGTGTGTGTGTGTGTATATATATATATATAGAGAGAGAGAGAGAGAGAGAGAGAGTTGCACTCGGGTGCGAACGGCTCGCCCAGGCGCGAAATGGATGAGAAACACTGATTTTTTTAAAAAACGCGGTGGCATTTTCGTAAATAATTGAACATTGAAGTGCAAGTAAAATGTATTACAAGTGCATGTAAAATGTATTATAGGTGCAAGTAAAATTTACACTGAGCATCAATACTTAGTTGCACTTATAGTTCTAACTAGTTGCACCTATAGTTCTAAGTAGTTGCACACATAGGTATAAGTAGTTGCATCTAGGTGTATGAATGTTTGCGAGTGGTTTTCAGGAGTATTACTACCCGCTGAACTCAGATCAATGAATGTTAACAAGACAAAATTACATGCACTTATATGTGAAAGTAGGTGCACATATAGTTATAAGTAGTTGCACCTATAGTTATAAATAGTTGCACATATAGTTATAAGCACACCCAGGTGCATGAATGGTTGCGGAAAGTGAATGCTAACAAGGCAAAATTACATGCACTTATAGGTGAAAATAGGTGCACTTATAAGAGATTTTACTTGCACTTCGATGTTCAATTATTTACGAAAATGCCACCGCATTTTTTTTTAAGTTATTAGATCTGGACACGTGTCACGCGCTGATTCATTCGCATTTCCTTCCTGGGCACTTATTCGCACCTGAGTGCGTCCCTATATATATATATATATATATATATATATATATATATATATATATATATATATATATATATATATATATATATATATATATATATATATCGGTCTAGGTGTTAGGCGCCTCTAGACCGTGGCGATTTCCTCTCTAGGCGCCCGCCTAGGTTACCGGCCGCCTAGGCGTCCGCCTAGCGCCTAACTTGGCCGATTTGGCCGCCTAGCGTCTAAGTTAGTCGAGTTAACTCGTCCATTTCGGTCGAGTTAACCCGATTGGCTCGGCCTATTTTTTTTTATTATATATATACTAGTATTTGCACCCGTGCGATGCACGGAATGGATTTGTTGTAATATATTAAGAATATATG